GGGGGAAATGGGAGGGTAAGAGAGGGCTGGGGGGTCAGACAGCCTATTCCCCACTGGGCACTGTGGTTCCTCGCTCTGACCCATAGAGAGTAGGACATCAAGCTATGACACCAGAAGTGTCAGATATCAGCAGTGCCAGGAGCCCTTGAACAAAGCAGTGAATTTCCTGCCCGCCTGCCGCACAGGCAAGTATTCAGTCTATTCTTTTAAGCTTGATTCACACTGAAAGCATTGGCCATTTTTTACACTGCAGCCCCAATGCAAGACAAGGCAATGTGACTTATGACGGATGGGCACAGTTCACAGCTCCACAATGCCGTGCGTTGCACTGGTGTGCACTGAAAAAAAAGTACTGCATGCAGTACTTTTTTTCAGCGCAGTGGGGAAGTTTTTATAGAGTACTTTTAGGACAGTGACAGGGTCTCTTTAAACAATGCCAGTTAAATTGCCTGAAATCTATATTTACATTATCTTTGCAAAAACCGCCGCACACCAGGAGTTAATCTGACCAATGAGGTACCAGCACAGTGCATCAGAAAAACATGCACTGGGGATTCGAAAGGGGAAATGTTTAGACAGCCTACAGGCGGGGACAGAGCGTGGATGTGATGAAGCTAATTCCTAGTCCAGGGCATAGGCTGTGTGCAGGGTGGAGACATAGAATGCTATTGGCTCGGAGTTGAGGTATTGATCTCTGTATATATAAAATTACCAGACTGACTTTACAGAATTAAGAAACTTTTGGCAGTTTACAGTGTATCAAGCTGTTTGGCTGGAGTTCCACTTTACAACAACATTACAGTCACAACTTATCTAGTCTGATGTGGACCACACACATTGCTGTCTGATTGTACAATCTCATACAACACGTATTAAGTGCAATGACCTACCAAACTAGCCCATTCAGTGATGAATGCAGTCAGGTAGTTCCTCCACACTACAAAGTTGTCAAATCTTGGAGATTAATTGATCAGATTGTAATACATGCGGCCTGCTTACATCCCTACAACCACCTGTTGCCAAGCCATGTTTTCTGGATTTCCTTCAGCCTAAATAAATTATTTAAACTGCATCTGAACCCAAGAACAAAAATGTAATATACTGAAGGTTACTTAGATGAGGTGGCTCCATTTTGGTATGGAGTACGAGTACCGATATCTTTTTTCGGTATTCACCAATACCGAATATCAAGTACCGGAAGTCCCATTTAGAAAGCTGGCCGGCATGTAATGACTCGCCACCTGGCTTCCCGATAAGCCGGGCAGCGTGTAAAGACTCGCCGCCCGGCTTCCCAATTAGCAGGGAGGCCGTCCCCATGCTTTATCACTAGGTGACGAGGGAGCATGAAGCGACCAATCGGGAAGCGTGTCATTACACGCTGCCTGGCTTCCTCATACCAGAAGTATCGGGTTAGGCATCGGAGCATTTGAGCGTGTACGAGTACTCGCCCAAATATTCGGCATCAATGCTAGTATCGGTATTGGTGCATCCCTATCAATAACATTATTTAAGATTTCAATTCAGGCTCACAGAAAGTGCCAAAGACACTGGATTTCTGGCAGGATCAACAGGTATTTTCTGTACTAGCTGAAAATATTCTTAGCCTGACAAAAAACAAATGCAGTCACCACATTTAAGATCTGGTAACCTGTAATTACATTACACATTTTTGTTCTTTGGTTTAGATATCCTTTATTCTGTGTACTGATAATTACCATTGGCTCCCACTGGGTGATATCTGAAAACATGACCTCTTGGGGTAGTTGAGGGAGACACTGGCCAAGGATGTCCATGCTGTACAGGAAGAACTAGACCAGTATGCAGGATTACACTACAGGGCACAATATTCTTTACAATCACTGCATGCAAAGTTTTTGCATCTTAATAGTTAAAGAAACTTTAAATGAGGAAACACATTGGACACTGCGAATTACATCCAATCAAATAATCTAATGGTATCAATGCCTGGTAAAGATGGAATGGTTTATCCATATAAGAAATGTTTGTACTGCTCATACTAGCCAGCAAGATACCAGATTTTCCAGACTGACAGGTTGTAAGTAAAGGTTGAATCTGACTGGAAGATATGAAGCAATACAAACAGTTGTTGAAAGAGGCAGTTTGATAAATGAGGCTGTTTGAAGGCTGACTCTTCCCTCCTATTGTCCCTGCTAGTCCCTTACAGAAGAAATTCAGCAATACGTTTCTACATTTATGCAGTATTGTAGTTGTAACATTTAATGCATTATTTTACAAACATTACTTGTTAGTTATAGTTGGAATCTGGTGGGCCACCCCCTAACTTCATTTTTCCAGAGGCCAGATCACTATATTGTACTTGTACTATAATGTGACAGTAGTTGACAGACCTGGGACTGAGTTTATTCGCTCTTTGAAGGACAACTGACCTTTAAACTTATCTTCTATTCTATGCATTCTGCTTAAATATTCCAACTGCAAAGGGTACCGGGTTTTTTGATAAATAACAATTAGGACAGGCTACTGTGTGTTACATTGGCTTCCTGGAGGAGCAGTTTCCGACCGTAACTAGAGGGAGTTAAAGGAAAGAAGACAGACTGCTCAGGCATCTGAACGTTTTGGGTGCATTGTAAGCATGTTGCTCAGTTAGGGCCCAGTCACACCATAAAGAATGAGATCCAGTGCGTTCGGCCTCTGGAACGCACTGGAGCGCAACCCGGCCGACTCACTTTGTTTTGGGGCGGGAGGGGGCGTAGCGCTGCATTGAAGTCAATGGCACCACAGCCACATCTACCGCCTGCAGTGCAATCTCCGGCACCCTGAAAGCGTGGGACATTAGTGCCTGCGTTCTGGTCCAGTGTGAACTGCAAAAAACAGTGCATGCCGCATTTTTTGCAGATCGCACTGGACTGGAACGCAGGCACTAATGTGCTACGCGTTCGGGTGCCAGCAATCGCACTGTGGGTGGAGGACGTGGCTGCAGTGCCATTGACTTCAATGCACCGTCACGCCCTCTCCCGCCCCAAAACTATGCCAGCCAGCTGGGATGCGTTCCAGAGGCCGAACGCACTGGAGCGCACTCTTTATGGTGTGACTGGGCCCTGAAAGGTACGCAGAACATGTGTTACCACTGAATTCTTGGCAACATTCCATTTTGCTAAAAACTGCAACACAATTGCAGCACGTAGGACTTTTTGTAACACACCACACCCGGAGTGCACCTAATACATGCATATGTCAAGGGCACTTTAAAATGCATGTGGTGAAACCAAAAAAAGTAATACACACACATTTCCCCTCTTAACGTCCTGTAGTGATCTAACAACACAGTGGCACTGCTGCACTAAAATGCCAAGCAGCTATTCTACACTGCTGGACTACAGAACAACTCAATCATTATCTAAATGAAAAGTGGTTACTGAGATGAGGAGGGGGGCCCCCGGGGAGGAGTTCGTTAGTCCAGCGGGAGAGAACTTAGGATGGACTGACACCACTGCTTAACATTGCAGTTCAGCAAAGGCACAGTGTCGTCAGCTCACAACAGTAAGTGATGAGCTCACTGGATTTCTGGCAGATCAACAGGTATTTGCTTGTACTTGGTGTTTTTAAAGAGCTAAACATGAGGAAATGTGCATTTATTGCAGAGATGTACTGAATTTGTATTTTCTTTTCCTTATTTGCCTTGACATTCACTTTAAAACAAAACACACCTCTCGTCTTCTGTTCAGCTCCCTCTACTGATGGCCAGAAGTGGCTGCTGCAGGAAAAGAATTGTGCAAACACACAGCTGCCATGCTGGAGGCCCAACATCCTCAACTGCTGATTATTAACAAAACAGATAGCCTGTGCACTTGATGTATTTGAGCAGAAGGTATAAACAAGGGTAGTTCCTGAAAGTGCACTCATCTTTTAAGGCTACAGATCATACAAAGAAGAGAAATTGCACCATGTACATATATACTTACTCCTTCAGTTCTTTACACGGGGAGTTACAGGCTGGAGCAAATGGAGCGGGGTTGGTGAGTTTATCCAGTGTGCACGCTGTTCCTATAGCACGCACAACCAAACCAGACTCCCCCTCTAGATCAAAACATTGCAGGTAGCCAACCACGGCATTCCCTCGCATCTCCAGGACCTTGAGACCGATCTTCCTCTGCAGCTCACCTGGGAAAAACAAAATGAAAAAAAAACACATGACCATGACTGGGAGGCTGCAGAACCCATGCACTCCCTCCTGTTTATGTAACTACAAGTCATACTATGGCAGAACTGTACTTACCACCTCAACAGTGATACAGTCGGCAATAAAATTCCTGACCGGGGGTACCCCCTTCCCCAATCAGGGTACATGTACCAGGGGTTGAGCCGGCATTGGAAATGTCACAGTTTGGTTTGTCACTTTACAGGTACAGGATTTTTATTGTAAGAACATACACAATACCTCTTATAGTATATATATGTCTATACAATACAGAAACACACAAACCAAGTCTGGCTCTTCTTACCCGACATGAGTGATATCAGCCTCTGCCGGGCCTCATTGGAGGCTCTCGGTGTCCGGATTCGGTCGATCCACTGGTATTCTGGATCCTCATTCACTACCAACTCCTCTACAAAACCATGTATGACCACAGCACGATATGACTTTGGAATAGACGTTGCTATAGTTGCGGAAAAGGAAAAGTGTTCACACATAATAATGTTACACAAAAAGCACAAAGACTGCATTTAAAGCCCAGCTCTCCCTTTCCTGCCCCTCACACCCCTTGGTGCATGCCCATTCCCCTTATTTAATGGAGAATATCACATGTCCTCTTCTGCCCTCTGAGGTGGGCAGGTCCTCAATGTTGCATAGTGGTGCCATGCATTTTCCAGGTAATCCAGGAGACCAGCATCAAAAAGTGGCTGAGAAGTGGGAGATCGCTGGAGATAGTGCTAAGGATAAGTATTCCAAATATAACTCCTTTTTTTAACTTCTCTCTCTTTTACAGCTCCTGGCTATACTACCCACCAGAGAGTTCTGGATGTTCCCAAGTATCATGCCGTGTTCCCACTTTTCCTGTGTTTCTCATAAAATAAAATTAGGTATTCAATTTGTTTATTTATTCGTTGGTTAAACTCAGTGGTCTTTTTTCAACCTAACAACTATACGTTGTTAGGTTGAAAAAAGACCACGGAGTTTAACCAACGAATAAATAAACAAATTGAATACCTAATTTTATTTTATATTATGAGAAACACAGGAAAAGTGGGAACACGGCATGATACTTGGGAACATCCAGAACTCTCTGGTGGGTAGTATAGCCAGGAGCTGTAAAAGAGAGAGAAGTTAAAAAAAGGAGTTATATTTGGAATACTTATCCTTAGCACTATCTCCAGCTCCCACTTCTCAGCCACTTTTTGATGCTGGTCTCCTGGATTACCTGGAAGACAATGTAAAGGATGTACTTGTCTATCATCCATCAAACAACGGGGGGCGGTGTTGGTGGAATTTCCACTGCAACCAATCAGCTTCTGTGTCTCATTTTGAAATATTACCAGAGCAAGCTGAAGAGAGATTTATTAGTATAAATAGCACAGACAACTTATGCAGCACTTTATATAGTGCACATCGGTCCCTGCCCTCAAGGAGCTTACAATCTAAGGTCCCTCTCTCACATGCATACATGTGGGAGAGGGACCCAAGCACAGGGAGAACATGCAAACTCCTTGCAAATGGTGTCCTGACTGGGATTTGAACCGGGGACCCTGAGTGCTGCAAGGCAGAAGTGCTAACCACAACGCCACAGAGAGAGATGCTCATCTGTTGCCTTGACAACTGCTCCAGATTCAGTCTGCTCCAGTTTTAGAAATTTCCACCCAAGGTAAACTGACCCTTTAAAGAATTCCACTATCCGAATAAAAAAATGATATTCTTGCTACAGTGCACAGACTAAAGCACATCAATAAAATATGGAGGTTAGAGTGCTTTGTGGAGGCTCCATCATTACAGGTTACTTACTGCAGAAGAATTTGACACCACATGAAGATTGTCGGAAACGATTCAAGTCATTGAAGAGGTCAACCTTCACCACAACATTGATCTCCCCCCGAATACCTGCACCAAAGGGGGAAAGCAAACACCCTTAAACTCCAAATGTAATTATGTTACTTACTGGCTGAGCAATAGAACAGTAAAACAAATAAGAACCACGTGAAGTGGATCCATTACAGGGCTCCCGTAATGAAAGAATATGGGCTTGCTGAGCTCTCCCAATAAAAATGCAAGTTCGTTTTGATTGTTCGGCTTTAATACTTTCTGAAACTCAGACCTAATTTATGTAAGCAAATCAGGCTTTCCTCTGACTCGATCTTCATGCTTGTTCAATGAACTAAAAAACAGCTTCGTAACTAGTATTTTTAAGGAAAGTTTAGCAATGAAAACGAAAACCACAGATTTCTCTCAGTCAGCAATCTCCTCTATACAGGTTGATTCTCTGGCAGGTGAGCAGAGTCAAGGAAGAATAAGTAGAACTCATGTGCTCCCTACTGCTCTAAAAGGGGCATGTTTCTTTGTCCTATATGGGCACAGTATATATAGGTTCTCATTAAGTACATAAATATTCAGTTTGATGCAGTTCTGCTTATTCGACACACTGTTCTTTCTTACCATGTATGGTGTCATAAATGGGAAACCATCCAGAGATAACAGTGGCTGCCTCAGTGTACAGCAAAGGGTCAATGTCGATGTAGACCTTTCCAATGGCATCATTGGCACTGTATGTATCGTGGTCAAGGACTGTGATCTGCAGCGGCTCATCCTGCAAGTCTTCATCATCTACCTGCATAGAAAACAGGCAAACGAGGGGTTAATGCTTCCCTTTTTCCAGTGGGATACAACCACTTGTCCGTGAATACAAAACTCACCTCAAACTTGAACCATTCTGAATTCCACTGCGGATTGAGGGATTTGTGGTACACATCTGTCTTAAATGTAGTGTTGGCAAACTTTACCTGTGAAAATACAACATGCGTTAGCAAGCAATAATAAGCGCAGTGCAGTCATACACTAAGTGACATTAGAGGGATCCATCCTGCTGCAGGGGCAGTGAACCATATATGCTCCATGTTTATACTTCCATGTTTCATGTATCCAGAATGAGAAGGATAAGGGGCAACTCACTAGATTACCAATATGGGTTGGACACTCCAAGGTAACCAGAAATAATCATATCTACAACCTTTAGGGGTAACATAGGCAGAAGCAGTGGCAAGGAGCCCTCCCCAAAACATATAAATCGAGCAATCCTCAATTTTTCAGTAGAATATTTTATATGGTTCAACCAATACTTCTAAAGGCTAAAAGGTTGTAAATCACAAAAGAGATCCCTCTGTAATTGACGTTTGACACTTACTCGGAGAATATATTTGAAATTAAAAATTAAATTAAAAAGGAGGCCACAAACTGTACTGTGAAGCAAAGGACAAAGAAGAAACCGCCAGTATCGTCTGTGGTCTCCCTGCAGCTGATTTTTTCCCCAATTCTGACTTACCGTGCTTTATTCTTCAGGGTGTCTCTGTGCGGAACTGGTGATCCTGGTATAGGAGCAGGGATAAGCTTCCTCATGTCAGAGCTGCCGTCTGGCAACTGGTGATCTGATGACTGGTGCGGTAATGAGAGGTTCCCCATGTCAGTGCTATTAGGGGCATAGCAATGACATGAGAAAGCTAATCCCTGCTTACCTACCAAGATCAGCACCTCCACACAGAGTAACCATGCAGCATAAGGCATGGCAAGTCAGTAATGGTGAAAAGATCAGCTGCAGGAAGGACACAGGCAATAGTGTTGACACGTTCTTTGTCCTTTGCAGCCGCCTTTGGGCACAACTTCCACAGTTCTTTTCCTCTTTAGTTTAATTTAAAAAAGCAATAGGAGACGTGGAGGAAGTAAAAGATCTATAATGGATAAAGCAGAAGCAGGGACCTTGTATTGCGGGTCCTTAGGCACAGCTCCCTCTCCAGCAAGGAGGACAGTGTGAAGGACAGTAGAGAGCAGAATTTTAATTGCACATGTAATAAAAGGAAATCTACAAAGGCTGCAAAAGTAATGACAGTTTTATGTTTGGATACAGTCAAACCAGCACACGCCTAATTTGCATCTTCAGGCCAGTCCTGTAACTTTTAAAAACACAGATTGTATCTGTATCAATCAGAAAATGAAGGAAGAAATTCTTCTGAAACAAACCCACCCGTGGCATTTTCCACTGTGTACATAGCATTATGATCTACAGATCTATATTACGTAGTGTAAATTGAGCGTGGGCGTCTCTGAAGACAGCGGTTATATATAGAGATGTCAGATTATACTTTGAGATCTTGGTAGATTAATGCGCTACGCCTATAACATGAAACCAGAGGTACACAATATACAATGACTACCTCACTATAAAAACCTCAAGCCATGTATCCTGCCCTGTGAGCTCTAAAGCTGCAAGTCCTAACTGGGGCATAGAGACCTTATAATTCTACAACACATAATAATTCTACACCACTTCGTGGCCGAGTTGCTGTTGTCTCCAGTTGCTTCCACTTTGTTATAATACTACTAACAGGTTACCGTGGAATATTTAGTAGCAAGGAAATAATCACGGATGGACTTATTGCACAGGTAGCAACCTATCACGGTACCACGCTTGGATTCACTGAGCTTCTGAGAGCGACCCATTCTTTCACAAATGTTTGTAGAAGCGTCTGCATGCCGATGTGCGCGATTTTATACACCTGCGGTCATGGAGGGGATTGGAAAACCTGAACCCAATGATTTGGAGGGCTGTCCCAATACTTTTGGCAATATAGTGTATGTGTGGTGGTTCTCCTGGCCTAGACTGTCTATATCTCAAACTCCTGTGTGCACAGACCTATGAATGTACCATTGTGCAGCATTTCCCATTAGCACCCCAGCACAGCTACTAGGTCACCGGCTACTGCAGTATATCGAGACTTTAGAGCACCAATCACATGGCAGGAAACATTCTATTGAGGAGAAAGGAACCCCACCCCTTCCTGCTATAATCTACTTAAATATCCCCCACTGTGTTGCAGCTTCATAAATGGGAGAGAATGGTCCTTACTGCTGACATTACAATACATGTGCCAGAGGTTATCTATGCTAAACAATGCAGCAAAATAGGATTTTTGTAATCACCGTACATTCCTTTTATGGAATCCAGGAAATCCTTCACCTTTGGGTTATACTGTTGCCTACAGGAAAACTGGAAACCGGCAAACAACCAAAAAACTGTAGTCCAGCCCAAGATAACCTCCCTCCTACCACCAGCATACCTCAGATTTGTAGCAAAACAGTAAAGAGAGCATGATCATAAACATAAAGGGGTGGGACCTGTGCCCCTCAAAGGGCTGCAAAAACAGGATCTTACGGTGAATGAAAAACAAAAAAACCTATTGTCTATCGTCCATTGAGGGGCACAAAAAGCCTTTCACTTTCAGGATGTCCAAAGGTAGTCCAATTGAGGGAAGGGCAACACAGCAGACAAACTCTAACAGTCCTTAGAAAACAGAGAAATGTGGACTGCCTGCATCTCAAAGAGCCACCTGAAGAACCTGCCAGCCAATGCTGCCATCAATTGGGGCTGCAGCATCTACCTGATAGAACTCAGAGAACATGTTAACAAAAGACCAGGAGGCAGCTTTGCAAATGTGGGAAAAGTTGATGGATGCCGAAAATGGGGGGTTATGCTGGTTTGGTCTAGTTTGTATGCCAGGGTCCAATTCTCCTGTAGTTGGCAGCATAACCCAAAGGTGAACGACTTAATATGTCCCTCAATGGGAAAGAAAGCAATTCATTCGATATGAATAGAGCTTGGTGGCAAAACTACTTACTGTCTTCTCAGAGGCAGATCTTGCCATGCTTGTTCTTAACCAGTTGACATCCGCGGTGTTAAACCCCCTTCCCATCCAGGCCATTTTTCAGTATTCAGCGCTGCGGTACTTTGACTGACATTTATTCCGTCATGCAGCGCTGTACTGAAATGAATTTTATACCCTTTTTTGGGGACAGATAGAGCTTTCTTTTGGTGGTATTTATTCACCACTGGGGGTTTTATTTTTTTACTAATTTAAGGAAAAATTACCGAAATTTAAAAAAAAAAACAGTTTCCCCTATATTAAATGATAAAACATTTATTATTACCCAATTTTTTGGTAAAATATAAAAGATGGGGTCACGTCGGGTAAAAAGACACTAAACATGTCAAGCCTTAAAATTGCGTGCGCGCGCGAAACCTCAAAAAACGATAATACCCAAAATTGGCCATAGGCGACGCTTTAAAAGCTGTTACCGCTCATCAGTTTAGTGTTATCAGTGATTGATGGCCCTAAAATGATTGCTCTCACTGCGACGTTCGCGGCGATATGTAACATGTGTAGCGCAATTGTAATTTTTGCGCGCTGGGGCACCGGACGCGTATTTACGTTTATAGGCGCGTAAACGTGGGGGTGGGGGAGTTAAACATTTTGGGGGGGTTTTTTCCCCTTTTTTTATATGTGACTTTTATTTTATTTTACTTTTTTATGTGTTACTTTTTTTTTTTTTTATTTATATTTATTTTTTTGCACTTATTGTTATTGCTATTATATAGGGGGATAACAACCCCCTATATAATAGCAAAGGCACACTGACAGGTCCTCTTTATGGAGATATTAGGGGTCTCTAGGACCCCTAATATCACCTGTGGACCCCAAAAGAAGCTGATGAAGCAGAGATCTGCTTCATCAGCACAACTGATGACGGTGGGGGTGCCGCGAACGAGCACATATAGGCGATCGGCGGGCTATGGACCCGCTGATCGCCTATATGTGAAACACCCGGTAACGGGTGTGTTTAATCGTCGGGTCTTTTCTGCCCGTGCGTGCCCGCTAGGGGGCGCACGCGAGCAGAAAAAAATTGCCGTCTGGATTGCCCGCAGATGTAGCAGTGCCGTCCGTCCGTTTTTTTACTACGGGCGGACGGCAAGAGGTTAAGCATGTCTATGTCCACCTCCATTGTGTGTCCCCTCCCACCTTTGTATGTTCCAGCTCTTCCTGTTACATTCCCCATAAAATAAATACTAGGCATGATGGGAATCCCACATAAAGAGTTGGAGTATGACTTTATTAAAACAAAGACTCTTCACAGAAGGACATCATGAATTAAGCCAACAAAGCATTATATCTAGACTGTGTGCACAATTAGTAGGCACGTTGTATTTTTGAGGGTTACATTTCATTATTGAACAACTACAGTGCTCTCGGTCAATCCAAAATGTTAATAAACCTCAACCATCACGTTGTCAAACAATTCATCCCCACCCAGCTACCTCCTCGTGTATCACTTGTCCCTCCCTTTTAGATTGTAAGCCCTCAGGGGCAGGACCCTCCTTACCATCTTGTCTTGAATTGTATTGTGATTATGTCTTCCTTATATTGTAAAGTGCTGCGCAAACTGTTATATATAAATCCTGTATTATAATAATAAACCTGAATATTTAGAAAGTAAAAATTAGGTTTTTGGCTTTCTTAGGAGAATATCTGGGTGTGCACAATTATTGGGCAAATATTAGTGTGCAGGGTTATTATGCAACTAAATGAAAAACAAAACTCTTCCCATCTCACTTGTTTATTTTTATCCGTTAGGCCCCATTCACACACGAATCGGCCTGCACGTATAGCTTCGTGTGCGGCCGTACCAAGTAGCTGCGGGAAGGATAGGTGCTGCGTGTGATTAGAACGCAGCCCCCGTCCATCTCTATGGGGCTATGCAGCTGTACGCCCCCCTACGCTCACCTTATTTGCAGGTCCGTAGGGGTGCGGGTTTTCTGGCCGGGACGCATACAGGATCCATTCCGGGGGCGTATGAATACCATCACCCGCACCCCTACGGACCTGCAAATGAGGTGAGCGTAGGGGGGGCGTACGGCTGCGTAGCCCCATAGAGATGGACGGGGGCTGCGTTCTAATCACACGCAGCACCTGTCCTTCTCGGCAGCTACTTGGTACGGCCCCGCACGCAGCACAGAGCTGTACGTGCAGGCCGATTCGTGTGTGAATGGGGCCTTAAAATGAGAATAATAAACAAACAAATAAAAATTTACAAATAAACATTTCTGACATTTTCAACAACAACAACAAAATCAGTAACCAATATAGCCCCCCCAGCCTTCCATCCATCAGTTTCTTCATCTGTTGACGATCAACTTTTTGTGCACCAGCAACCACAGCCCCCCGGACACTGTTCAGAGAGGTGTACTGTTTTCCTTCACCGTAAATCTCCCGTTTAAGAAGGGCCCACAGGTTCTCAATAGGGTTTAGGTCAGATGAGGAAGGGAGCCATGTCATTTTTCTCTCATCTATAAGGCCTTTACTGGCTAGCAACGCAGTGGAGTACTTCGATGTATGCGATGGAGCATTGTCCTGCATACATATCATGGTCTTCTTGTAAGATGCAGACTTTTTCCTGTACCACTGCTTGAAGAAAGTGTCTTCTAAAAACAGGCAGTAGGTTTGGGAGTGGATTTTGAGTCCATCTTCAACCCGAAAAGGTCCAACTAGCTCATCTTTAATAGTACCAGCTGACCAGTACCCCACCTCCACCTTGCTGGCATCTTAGTCGAAGTGGAGCTCTGTGCCTGTTACTGATCCAGCCATGGGCCCATCCATCTGGTCCATCAAGAGTCACTCTCATCTTATCAGTCCAGAAAACCTTTAAAAAATCTGTCTTCAGATATTTCTTGGACCAGTCTTGAAGTTTCAACTTCTGTGTCTTGTTCAGTGGTGGTCGGGTTTTAGCCCTCCTTACCTTGGCCAGGTGTCTGAGAACTGAACACCTTGTACTTCTGGGCACTCCAGGTAGGTTGCAGTTCTAGAATATGACAGCACTGGAGGATAATGGGTTCCTGGTAGCTTCACGTTTGATTCTTCTCAAATCTTTGGCAGTTAATTTGCGTCTTTGTTTCCCAACATGTTTCTTGCGACCATGTTGACTATTTGCAACAAAACGTTTGATGGTTCTGTGATCACGCCCCAATACCTTAGCAATTTCAAGAGTGCTGCATCCCCCTGAAAGACTTTACAATTTTTGACTATTCAGAGTCAGTTAAATATCTTTCTTGGTCCATTTTGCCTGAGGAAAAGAAGCTGCCTATATATTATGCACACCTTGATATAGGATATTGATCTCCTAAGGCCACACCCTCCCTCATTACACAAATACACATCACCTGATATGCTTAAATCCAATAAGCTTTCAAGCTTATACAGCTTGGAGTTGGACAATATGCATAAAAATGGTGATTTGGTGAAAGTACTCACTGGCCTAATAATTGTGCACACAGTGTAATGACGAAGCTCAATGTCTCACCTCCACAAAAGCGTCGGTCAGATCACTCGCTCTGTCCATGACCGGCAGGTGACGCCCGGCCACAATCTTCACCTTCAGTTTCCCCGGCATCCTTTACATTGGTCCCTCTGGAAGGGGTCAAATACATGTAATTAAAAAAAATAGCAGCTTAAAAGGTCTAACCCAGGGATAAATCATTGTCCTATCAGAAATGTACTGCTCAAGCTAGCATGGAGCTTTTTAAAGGAGCCAAATTGGCAACTTCCAAAGTTAGAAGCTTTTATTTTTGCTAAAGATTTGGAACTTTTTTGGAAAGCATGACCAGTCCTGGAGATAGTGGACAGAATGTTGTATTACGAATTGGGAAGAGTTGCTATCAATGATGCCAAATATGTCTGTCTTTGCAATAACATCCACTGCCAAGATCAAACTGAAATGCAATTAGATCTTGTATGTCAAGCCAATAACATTTTTTCTACTATTGAATAAAGTGGGGAAGGATTAGAACTCCTATCAGGTTCTTACTGCTATCTGGGGCTCCGTTAGAGAGATTTCCCCAAAATTACTGTCCCTGGGACAACAGAAATATAAGGATCTGACAGTGGTTCTAGCCTTAGGAAAAACAATTGTATTTCTTTCTACTAGAAAGTTCCCCTAACTTCCTGTCTGGCAAAATGTTGCCAGCAATAAAGGAAGTGAAGAGAAATATCTGCACGGCGATTAGGAGCTACTGGATGCAAATTGAACACACCAGCACGAACATACTTCCATGCTTTGCATGGTCAGAATAATTCAGGAAGAGATGGACACTCTCAGGATCACCAGATCTGCACACATTCCTGCTAAGACCCAAACACATCGCTGGTGAGACCCAAATGTAGCCCTTGTGATATCTGTACACAGCCCTGGTAAAACCTAAATGCATCCTGCAAGCAGCCCTGGTGATATCTGCATGCATCCGTGGTGAGACCCAAACGTATCCCTAATGAGATCTGCACGCAGCCCTGTGGGGTGACATGCATGCATCCCTGGTGATATCTGCATGCAGCCCTGGTGTGACCCTAACGAATCCCTGGTGATATCTGCACACAGCCCTGGTGATATCTGCATGCATCCCTGGTGATACACAAACGTATCACTAATGAGATCTGCACGCAGCCCTGGGGAGATCTGTCTGCATCCCTGGTAAGACTCAAACGCAGCCCGGGTGAGACCAAAATGCAGCCCTAGTACAATCTGCAGTCACCCCTATATATTCATGGATTGATGGGATCTGTATAGGGCTGCAGCTAAGGATTATTTGCTCGATTATTTTTTCAACTAATTGATTGGTTGCATTAAAAAAAAATCTCTCTCATCCCCCTCCCCTTCCCCCTCCCAAACCAACTAACCGATAATGAGAATAATTGCCAACTATTCTCAATCGATTAGCTGTTGCTGCCCTAGATCTGTAGTTCTCTATAGCCGGTCGCCATTCTCCATTGCTGTATAATCGTGGATTGATGGGATCTCTAGCTCACTATTGCTGGCTGCCATTCTCCATTGCTGTATAATCGTGGATTGATGGGATCTCTAGCTCACTATTGCTGGCTGCCATTCTCCATTGCTGTATAATCGTGGATTGATGGGATCTCTAGCTCACTATGGCTGGCTGCCCTTTTCCAATGCTTTATAATCGTACCCTGGTAAGACTCAAACGCAGCCCGGGTGAGACCAAAATGCAGCCCTAGTACAATCTGCAGTCACCCCTATATATTCATGGATTGATGGGATCTGTATAGGGCTGCAGCTAAGGATTATTTGCTCGATTATTTTTTCAACTAATTGATTGGTTGCATTAAAAAAAAATCTCTCTCATCCCCCTCCCCTTCCCCCTCCCAAACCAACTAACCGATAATGAGAATAATTGCCAACTATTCTCAATCGATTAGCTGTTGCTGCCCTAGATCTGTAGTTCTCTATAGCCGGTCGCCATTCTCCATTGCTGTATAATCGTGGATTGATGGGATCTCTAGCTCACTATTGCTGGCTGCCATTCTCCATTGCTGTATAATCGTGGATTGATGGGATCTCTAGCTCACTATGGCTGGCTGCCATTCTCCATTGCTGTATAATCGTGGATTGAGTTACAGTTCTTCATAATTATTAAGAAACTGCACTAAAAATCATTAGTCTGTATTTGTCCCTTTAAGAAAAAGTATCGGTAATTGGTATCGGCAAGTACCTGAGGGAACGGACTTGTACTTGGTCTTGAAAATATGGTATTGGGAGATCCCTAAGGCTGAGTTCACACCTAGACGTATCGAATATGCGCGTTGGTCGTGCATTTTTACCGCGATTCGCGGTAAAAACACACGCGGCAAACATGCATTTTCGAGGGCTACCTGGCTGTATCCCAATGGATACGCACAACAAATACGCCCCAAAGAACCTCCTGTACTTCTTTGGGCGTAGGGCGTTTTGCAGCTCGTTCCTACGCGCTGTAAAACGCCCAGGTGGGAACCACGCCCATAGGCAATTATTGGTTTTCACATGTGTGAACCAGGCCTAGTACTCCACTGAACCTCAGAACCCGTCCCTGCAGTCTCTCTCTCCCCCTCCGCTCCGGTGGTCTAAGGTCCTGCGAGTCATCATCTCCAATACAGTGTATAGGACATGAGGACGCCAAGGGACATTCCATTGCTGGATTGGAGAAGGAGAGTTATTTTTGTCCCTAGATGAAAATGAGCACTCGACCCATTCAATGAGGGGGCAGTCCCACTGCAAGGGTTAAGATTATTTCTGCCCGGAGTCCTTCTTTGGCATCGCTCCAGTCCAATGTGTACCTGTACATGGAGCCTTGAAGAAGGTCCCTTAGGACCCCGAGGAGGTGTCAGCTCTGTGTCTTCCAGCTGTACTATGGGTGCGATGCTCCTTCTCCCTTCAACCATGGAGACATCACATTGTGCAGTGTGTAGAGATATCTGTTCTCTGGTATAACTTGATCCTATCTGTAGAGTTCCACTATAGATGAACATATTTAGTGAGTCGTGTGATCACTGCCAATTACTCCACTGGAGCCATGACAGAGCTCCACTCATCAATTCTTCACCAGTGAGCTCAGTGCAGACATTGAGCTACTAACCACCCCACTGTACTCCTACTCTGACAGGGCCCCTGGGGGCAGACATCTTGTAGGAGGGGCTCATGCAAAAGGAAGGCAGCCTATCAGAGCAATGACAGCTCATGTCTGTGCCCTGTCAGAAGCTTCCAGGTGACCGACAAGAAGACCATTCCCTCACCTCTCGGGTCACTCACCCTCTCACAAGCTAGAAATTAGGGCTCCTCGTCCCCCCCCTGACATCGCTCTGACTTCCTCCCTCATCCCCTCCGCAGAATACTTCCGGTTCCGGCCGCTGTAATATGACGATGCAGTACGGGGCGAGAGAGAGGACAAGAGAGGCGAAACCCGGGAGCAGCAGAGAAGGGGCGGGATAGAATGGAGGGAGCAGGACTGTGTTGCCAATGGGCCCTGAAGGGGCGGGGCCGAACTTGGTTGGCGTCTCTTACTATGCTGCATCTTATATAGAGTGACCTGACTGTACCACAAGAGCTTACACTCTAATATCACACACTAGAAATATACATTTATAGAGCTCTAAGATATACCACAGAGAACACTGAGCCAGTCTCTGCACCAGAAGAGCGTACACTCTAATGTCCAACCCCAGTCACACACTATTATTATTAATATACATTTATATAGCTCTGACATATTCCGCAGTGCTGTACAAAGCCAGTCACATCAGTCTCTGCACCAAAATATCTCCCCGCATCTAATATCTCCCCGCAGTCACACACTATTATTATACATTTATATAGCTCTGACATATACTATAGTGCTGTACAGAGAACACTGAGCCAGTCATATCAATGTCTGCACCATAGGAGCTTACACTCTAATGTTCCACACAAGTAATATACATATTCATATAGCTCTAACATATACCACAGATAACACTGAGCCAGTCTGCACCAGAGGAGCTTACACTCTAATATCCCCACCACTGCTGTACACTATTATTATTTTTATTATTATTATTATTATACATGTATATAGCTCTGACATATACCACAGTGTTGTACAGAGAACACTGAACAAGTCAAATAATTCTGCACCAGAGGAGCTTACACTCTAATGTCCAACCACAGTCACACACTATTATTATTATACCTTTGTATAGCTCTGACATATTCCGGAGCGCTGTACTAACTCTCTTTTTTCCTTTTACTGAATTGTATAAATAAATGCAGGACGTGTACATTAGGATAATGAAAGTACTGCGCCGGTTACAATACTTCTATGGTAAGTTTCTTACCTATCTATATAATGACTAGATATAAGACTCAGGAAACAATATCTATGTCACTTTGTATCTGTGTATAAAACCAGTCCCAGGTGACACATGCGGGGTGTGTTTTAGATGTGTTGCATTTTAGGTGTGTTCAACATGCGTCTGTAAAATGCACGTTTTTATTAAAGCGCATCAAAGATGCAGTATGCGGGGGGGGTTTATTTTAACGCAGTGTACCACAAGCACACCGATGTGAAGAGAAGGACAGCGAGAAGAAAAGAGGAAAATATTTTTTTTAAAGGAAGAGACGGTATAGGGAAGGAAGGAGTGTCAAAGGGAAGGAGGGAGGGGTGGAGGGAGAAGTAAAGGGAATGAGGGAGGGGCAGAAGGAAGGAGAGGAGGTGGAGGGAGAAGTAAAGGGGAGGAGAGGAGGGAGAAGGAGATGGGAGGAGGGAGGGGCAGAAGGAGAGGAGGTGGAGGGGTGGAGAGAGGGGGAGGAAAGGAGGGAGGGGCTGAAGAAATGGAGAGGTAGACGAAAGGAGGGAGAAGTAAAAGGAAGGAGAGAATGATAGAGGGAGGGAGGGGTAGAGGGAAGGAGGGTTAGAAGGAAGGGCGAGGGGTAGAGGGAAATAGCGAGGGGTAAAAGGAAGGAGAAGAGGTAGAGGAAAGGAGGGAGGATTAAAAGGAAAGGAGGAGAGAGGGGTAGAAGGAAGAAAGAAGGGAGGGGTAAAGGGAAGGAGGGGAGAGAAAGAAGGAAGGGAGAGGTAGGAGGGAGGGGTAAAAGAAAAAAAGGAGAGAGGGATGGAAGGAGGGAGGGGCAGAAGGAAGGAGAGAGGGGAGGAGTAGAGGGAAGGAGAGAGGGGTAGAGGGAAGGAGATAGGCATAGAAGGAGGGAGGAGTATAGGGAAGGAGAGAGTGGTAAAGGGAAGGGACCATAGTAACCAGTTTCAGTTCGTTCAATTAAGCTTTGAAAATAAAGAGAAGCTGATTGGTTGCCATGCACAGCTGCTCCAGATTCTGTCTGCTCCAGTTTTGATAAATTCCCCTCTATATATTTTGTAGCACTTGAGGCAAATGTATCCCTGGTCTTTATTTCACTTTTCAGTAACTTTGCTATGCTCTGTACCTGAAATTTCATTATACATTTCTACATGTACATATGATTGTAAAAGACAATAACATGTACATGTATGCGTTATACTGTAGATACCTCTGATTATCACCTAAGGAAGCAGCGACCTTTATCTGCGTAGCGTGTACCGTTTATGCTCCTTCTCATTGCTGGGTATGTTTCAATGAATCTAAAGTTATGGGAGGATGAATTGACTTCACCAGTTCTTTCTAGAACCGAGTGCAGAATGGCAGTTAAAGGAGAACTATGGAGTAAGTGATTATCCCCATAGTTCTCCTAAGGGTCACGGGAGGATATAAACTAGCACAGCGCCCTCAGGCGGCCGCCTGACTTGCCTTGCGGTAGCGACGGGCCTGAGTATATCGAGAGCTACAGTCGAGATCCACCCAGCTGCATCAGTGACGGCTGGATCCTCCGGCAGCTTTGTGAACAGACCCCTAAGTGTTCCTTCTGTCAGAGAACGATCTCCCTCTGTTGCAATGTTACAAATGATTTACATTTCTGAGATAACCCCATTTTATTTCCTCTCCGTCTTACACTGATACATTGTATCTTTCCAATTACTGGCAATCTCAGAGTTCCCCCTATTTTCTACATTCCTAGAATATCGAGTGTCTATACCAGTGGTGGCGAACTTTGGCACTCCAGCTGTGCCAAAACTACAAATCCCAACATGCATCTGCCTCTGGGAATTATGTATGTGGCTGTCAGAGCCTTGCAATGCCTCATGGGACTTGTAGTTCCAAAACAGCTGGAGTGCCAAGATTCACCACCACTGGTCTATACCATAGGATAAATATTTTTTTTTTTATTGAATTTACTAATTTTTATTAACTTTTGCAATTAGCAAGCGTTGTTTATCGCAAAAATATCATTCAAGTTGTTATTTAATGCAACTGTGATCCTTTTCTAATCATTAATTGGCTGGTTTATTACTTCATGTGTTAGTTTCAGGAAAAGGGAAAAGGTTCATGCATGAGATACAGTTTATTGAATTATGCAATCAACACTTAATTGTGAGTCAATTAGAAATTATGTAATCCTGTTACATCATCTGATCATGACTTCGTGTCATCCGGTACAATAGAGTAAGATATCAGTGGAAGCCCAGAGATTGAAGCATATCAGAGGCTGGAGTTATTTTCTCAGACACATAATGACATGAGGGACACAACAATCCCACATCCGCTGTGTCTATAAAGTGTGTCTGTCAGTAAAGCTGAGTATAGAAGGGACATCGAAAATCCAAATAAGGATGAATAGCGCGTCTTTTATTGACGTAATGCGGCATATCACATAAGTGCAATGTTTCAGGGTCACGCAGGATCTCCTTCCTCAGGCAAGACATATGATCAAGGTAGGGGTTCCTGCGTGACCACGAAACGTTGCACATTGTATGTGATATGCCGCATTTACGTCAATAAAAGACGCACTATTCATCCTTATTTGAAGTGTTGGTGCCCCATTTATACTTTGTGAATGTGACGGCGCCATCCATTGGTTACCGCAGCACCCTCCAGTTGCCTTTGGACTAAGCTGTCAGGAGTGCGATGGGTTCATGGACTTTTGTCAGTAAAGTGGGCCATGCACTGTTAGAATGTCATCATTGAGTCAGCTGATTTGCTACTTGAATGGAATCCCCAATATATTAAAGCAGAACTCTGGGCAAATCAACCCGCCTACCCCCGCACTGCAAGGGTTAAGTGCTCATTTTGCCCAGGGAACTAAAATAACACAGATATACTCACCCGACGATCCACAATCCCGGCTTCCTCTTAGAATGGTTCCTTCAGCCTCGTTCCTCCTCCACTCCAGCGTGTGTGTACACGCTGTGTATAGGTGTATAGGTCTACAGTGTATAGGACATAAGGACAGCGAGGGACTTACCATCGCTAGAGTGGAGTAGGAGACAGGCTGGAGGGAGCGGTGTGGGAGCCAGCTGGGATCGTGGTTCAGGTCCGGATAACTTTGTTATTTTAGCTCCCTAGACAAAATAAAGACTTAACCCTTGCAGGAGGGGGGGGGAAGCCCCAATGCAAGGGTTAAGGTTTGATTTACCCAGAGTTCTGCTTTAAAGGAGAAGTATTAGGAAAGTAAAATATACACTTCCCAATAGTTTGAGCCGGCTTGTGACACTGCTGTCACATGTCGGCTCTATAGCTCGAAAACTGAGAGATCACAAACCGCTGATCACTCAACTCACAGTCTTCTCCCTGCAGAGAGCAGTGAGCGTCAGTCACCGCTCCCTGCAGGGATTTCCCCATCCACTCTCTCTGTTCCTCTAGCATTCATTGGACAGGGACAGGGGCACAGCTGGCTCTGGCTCTACAGAGGCAGAGCCAGCTATCAATCAGGCAGCAGGGTGGATCCTGACAATATTCAGGGCCGGATTCACTCTCTTTGCTGCCCCAAGGCCAGGTTCCTCAATGCGCCCCCCTACCCGCCAACTCCCCCCCCCACATGTAGAATGGCAAACCTGCAGGCTGCATACAAGTGATCTCGTCGACATTTAGCCCTTGCTCAATCCCAGTCACCCCTTCCCCAGTGATCAGACTGTTCATTTGAACTTTGTCGCAAGTCACAAGGTAAGAGGCTGCAACAGGGGCTGATCTGTGTCAGACATTTATAAACACAGCCAAGAACTGCACACGCAGATTGTGTCATCTTTGTGACCCTGGATGATGCCTGAACAGAGATGGCTCTGTCCTTCTGGAGAGAGAAACAGATGAAGCAATTGTCAGGAGAGTACTGTGATCTCTGTGAGAGGTAATACACGCCTGGAAGTGTTACACTGACACATTACTGCTGCACTGAACATGAAAAATATATCTGATGACAGGTTTACTTTAAATAAATAATGTACCTGCAGGTAATAATGTA